CTCTCTCTCTCTCTCTCTCTCTCTCTCTCTCTCTCTCTCTCTCTCTCTCTCTCTCTCTCTCCTTTTTAATTTGAACAGAAAAGAGAGGAAACATGAACTGTATAAGAACATCAGCTGTAAAAAAACAAGCTTAATGTTACAATAATATTTCAATGTTGCTACAGTTTTGTTAAAACATACGCTCTGTGCTCCATTGGCTTGAGAACAGACGCTGCACATTTTTCGTGTCTTTGTGCACTTTGGGTGCATTTTGATTTCTGATAGGTTGAAATTCTTATTCTCTGTTCTCTGTTCTCTGTTCCTTTTATTGTGCGGAGCCCCTTACTGTGTTCGGAGAACGTATTACAATTGTATAAATAAAAAAAATTTGAGCGGCTTTTTTCGTGTGACGCGTACGCCAGCGTATCAACGTCCACTTTTGTGATAAGGAAACTAGATCTATCATATCTATTTTGTAAAATTGTTGATAAAATTGTAGTGTCGAAAATGAATGTGGTGCGTGTCCGTGCTAATAACCAATCCTAGCAGCTCTTATTAGCATGGACGCATCAAGAAAAGAAAAGTTATTTTTTAAAAATAACGATAAGTTATCATTACACGTTGCCCAGTCAAAAAAGTAATCACTTAACCGTTACTATGGGTGCTTTCTATTTGATAACACAAATCGACACATATACTAAGTCGGTCTATCCTTCTTGACATTCAGAGAGTGACAAAGATAGAACGACATTTGTGCCGACTTGTGTCATCAAATAGAAAGCACTTTATATATAGTTACCGATTTTTAAAAGTGACTCGTTACCGTCATCGTTATTTAATTGAAAAGTAACTTATTCAGATCTAAGCTATAGAAATTAGGATATAGTATATCCTAATAGGATTATAAGACATAGAATTATTTAAATAATCTGGATCTGAATATACATCATGTATCATCTGAATTATTGTATAAAATTGCAAAGATTTTTTAGAGTAGAAAAATTCATTGGAAGAATTAATATGTGTTTGTAAACCCTGCCATATTGGCTTCTTTTCATAAATACCTAAGTTTAGATTTCCTTTTGCAATTTGAAGAAAGCAATCAAATAAAAAAATACTTTCGTAAAATTTGTTTTAATATTAGATAAAAAATAAAAATATTAATAAAATTTATGTAAAATTTGCAAAACACAAAAAATTTAAGAAAAAAGATTTTAAAATGCTTAAAATGTAAACAAAAGTACTTTGATTTTTGTTCCATTTATAAATACAGCCAAAATATATTTTTTATACTTACAACTTTATATTAAAAAATTGTAATAGAATATTTTTACACTTAAATATATTTGGACTTAAAACTGTTCTTAAAATGTATAGAATTACGAGGATTATTCAGATCTAAGTTATAGAAATTAGGATATAGTATATCCTAATAGAATTATAAGACAGAATTATTTGAATAATCTGGATCTGAATATACATCATGAATTATCTGAATTATTGTATAAAATTGCAAAGATTGAGTAGGATTATATTAAAACATAAACTTGTCAAATTTTACATTTTTTATTTATAATAAGTAAAGATTGATACTCCATTACATCATCATTTAAATGTCCTCTTGATGGCAACATTAACGATATTTTTCTCGATTATAAGATCGTTATTTCTTGATTTCGAACTATCACACAAATCGTATTTTATCATTTAAATATATCCTCCTATGGCTGTGCGAAAGAATAAAGTTTTACCATGGGGAATCCAAGTATGAAAAAGCGGAATGGAATCATTCTGATCGGTTAGCCTCTATTCTGTTTTCTTTCCGTTATTGTTCCGTTCCGCTGTTTTTTTTCTCCATTGGGACGTACCCTTAAAATTCTTAAGACGATTTTAAATATAATAACAAATTATATCACACATTATAAATATTGATCAAAGATTGCAGATTAAATATACGAAAATTGTGTCATAAATAGGTTCGAAATATAAAAAGTAACGACAAAAGTAATTGTAAAATTCATTACTGTTACCGAAAAAATGTAACTACGTTACCGTTACAATTTATATAAAAAAAGTAACGTCGTTATAAAAAACCAGATTGTTATAAAAAAAAAACGGTAACGGCGTTACAAATAACTATATAAGTAAGTTTACGAACACAAGGTAGGATAGTAAATATATATATATATATAACCTCATTAAATGATTATTTAAAGCGTTAGAATCAAAATCTCGTAAACAATTTTTAATTTGCACAGCTATATTAAAACAGAATTAATTAACTTAAATGCCAATTGCATCGGTTAGATTATATTAGCATTAGGAATGTACATTTTAAAGTTGGTACATTTCTTTATTCATGTACGTATTTATTATTTCGTTTTATTTATATATATTATAATATATTATTTAATTTTAATAATGTATAGTGTTTTAACATATATAGGTGGTGTTTTCCAGCAAAAGACAGTATAACATAATATTGTAATCATTTCATTTTTGTTTAACATTGGCAAACAGGGATATAATAGGTACATCCAGAAGCACGATTGTTCACTGAGCGCTCAGTGAGCTCTTGCATCTGATTGGCATATTCTGTTAGATCTAAAAATATAGACCAAACAGAGAGAGCTCACTAAGCGTTGAGTCGTGCTTCTGGATACACCCAATGGCTGCGTTCAGTAGACTCAACAGTTGAGTAAGCATTCGCTGCTATTGATGTATTCTTCTAGATCTAAAATTTTGATTGGACGATCTAAAAAAATACACTAATAATAGCGAACGCTCACTCAACTCTTGAATCCGTTGATTGCGCCTATAGATTCGCTTGCGTGTTACATTGTGTTATTCGTGTCTCTTGCTGAAATAGCTTCTATAAATAGTACTACATAGTTTTAATATAAATAATAAATATATACACGCGCTTGATAAAGAATTTTATACACCAGTTTTATTAACATTGACCATTTGTTGAGCTTATCACAATTCAATAAATTACTTTATATACATATTATAGCAATGCAAATTCTATTTTTTTAGTTTAATTTTTCTTTTATCTTTTAATTTTAACCTCGGTAATAAATATTTTAAGATTTGGACATCACATTTAGCCAAATTATGGCAGGTAATTTTTAATTACTGTTCATGTCAAGAATCGAATTTATTAAAGCTATTATTAGACTTCATTAATCGTTTAATTGCTACCACTCAAGATGACAAATACTTTTGGCTACAGTGTTCGACATTGATGTAACGGGAGTATCGGTGTGCCATTAAATCAGAGTGAAATTATCGAAGGGGTTCACGATTGAAGCAGCGTCTTGGCACTCTTGGCGCCGTTGGCTTACCGCCAGCGTCGCTTGCCATTGAATTCGCGTGGACCGAAAATAAGTGAGTCGGTACGGTAAACAGGCGGTACAGTGACACGGGTTCGATCTCCTCGCTTGCCTCTTAAAGACCGGTTTAACCGAATAAGCGCGGGGACATTTTGGGATCATTGTTCGGCCTGCATGGCTGTCCTCCTCGTAACTCGCATGAAGACGCCAACGCAACGGCCAGAGATGTAATTGTAGAGGATGCAGCGCATGCACATGTACACACATATACGCTCCGCGCGCTTTGTTTTATATATATCTCTTTATTATATAACATTTTATTTCTAGACGTTGATGTTGCTTGTAATAATGATCATCAAAAGATTATGAGATTAGATGATTCAATCCTTGTGTTCAATGTTGATTTATTTTTAATTATGAAATTAGATGATCCAATCCTTATGTGCGATATCAATTTATTTTTTATTTTACACAGAACGATTTAGCTAAAGTAAGTAAAAATTTAGATAACAGATCTGAAAATAATTTTATTGGATTATCATCATAGAATAATTATCTATGATATTCAAGTTAATTGATGAAATAACACAATTTTTTGCAGTATATATTGCTCATCATGCTTGAGTTTCCTATAATTATTTTTATGCTTTAACAAAATTATTTTTCGATCTGTATATAGATAAATTAGATACTTCGATAAAATTTTGTTCTTTCAGTACAGTTTAAAACGAAATACTTCTCGGTTTAAATTTCTTAGAACAATATTCTCATAGTCTCTCGGTTCTTATTTCGAGACCATATTAAATAATATTTTATGATTCTAATATGGATTTTGTGATTGCAGGTTTATGAGATCTTAACTAGGTTGTACTTAAGACGGTCATAAATATAAGAACCAACTATGAATATCGGCCATAACTTTTTTTTATTGTATAGCACTACCTACTATAGATAATAATAGTACGTAACAAAGGAGAAAATATATTTTAGACGTGTGTGTGTATGTATGCTTGTGTTATATGAAACTCTATTTTGATGTACTGATAATTTTTATATCATACATATAGTATATATATATATATATATATCTTATTTCATACACTGAACCAAAACTGTACGTAAATACAATAAAATATTCATTGAAGTAATAAAAATTGGTCCAATGAATTCCCATAATGATTCAGATTATAAAATTATTACTAGAATTCACTGTAAGAATGAATATGTAGTCATATAAATGAATCCAGTTGTTGTATCAATGAATTAATTACATTAAGTTGGACATTAAGTCGGATATTGATTAACAATTATTCATTGGACTAAAAATGACCAAAATTTTTTTTAGTGTATATTTTATATTAATATTAATATTTTTTTTAAAAGATATGAAGTGGAACAATATATTATACATTTATAATGTATTGTACATATTTGAGAAATGAGAAGATACACCTAAAAATAAA